GGAAGAGCTGAATATCCCAGAATCATTCCATATATTCCGAGATGAAATCAACTTACATCAGCTGAATGATGAAGGGAAATTGTCTTTAACACTTGTTAACAGCAACATGCTGACAAGGTACTTTGTTTTATGTGCAATAAAATGGCTCTTCCAGCTCTGGTTTCAGCTGTTATAAATGTTGTATTTTATGGTTGCATGATTAAAAAACACTGCGGTTTTTTTTGTGATATGAGACCAATTCACAAATGCTAGGGGGTTCAGCTTTATTTTCATATGTGACCAGTACATATCAGCTTACTCATCTTTGTTCCACCTTTTTGACACAGTTTTACCATATTTTCTCATATACACTACCTGGCAAAATATATACACCTTGTTTTGGAAAGACAGAATGAAGAAAAATGATTTTTTGATGTTATGGCTGCATAGAGCAGGGACAGAGCCTAATCTTCAGCAGGCTCATCCTCCTTTTTCTGCCTAACCACAGTTGAATCCCTAGCTGCTGCTGAAAACTAGTCTGCATGGGTGGATCTACAGGTACCTGTAGACATGAGGGATGCTTGCTCTGATGCATTGTAATTACAGTGTGTCAAAGCAGACATGATTAATCGAGTCTGCTGGAGCGTGCTAATTAGCATGGTCCAGCAGCCTTGGTATTGTATGTATTTGGTGTTCCTGTGCTTCAAAATGGCGACAAAGGCATTGTGACTAAAGCTTGGCAAATGAGCTTTAGTTAAAGTGCCCCTGCCACCATTTTGAAGCATTTGACGCTGAATACATGAGATGCTTCAGGCACTTTAATTAGAGCAGCCCGTGAGAGTCACTCTAAATAAAGCATCCCTTCCCTCCACCCCTGGAGCATGTGTAAAGATGCCCTATGATTCTGAAAAGGGCTAAAGAGTTTGAGCTAAGGAGCCTGAGACTAAGATAAAGAGGTTGTGAAACAGAGAAACCAGGAACAGCCAGCAATCAGCACAATTGCCCTAGAATGATTAGCTTGATCCGTGGAATATCAAAACCATTAAAAAGGAGAGAGAGTTTTTAATACCTGTAGAGCGAAGAACAATGAGTCAGGAAGTCACACGACTCTCTCAGCTGCCTGAACAGTAATTCTACAGCTGCTGAATTTCAGAGCAGGAATCAAACCAAGGTGCTTCCAACATCAGGCAAAAAAAATCAGCTTCCCTGCTTAATATGCATATCCCAATTTTAGGGGGCTGATTTGAGGGGAAAAGGCATATGTTGTATATGAGAATTGCATTGTATCTTTTTGTTAAAAGTGCCTCATGTCTTAACAGATCTCATTTGAGATGCTACTCAAATTGGATGTGTTGCCCCAAAGTTTTCTTTAAAATCAGTAGCAAGCAGGTCATGCAGTGCAGTCAAAATCCCCTGCATTGGCTGCAGCCAACACCCAATACTGCCAGGGATGGCAACTCCCTCATGTAGCAACAGAAAGGGGGAAAAAATCCTTCCCTGCCCCATGTGGCAATCAGCAAAGCACAAAATCATGGGAAATACCCATAGTAAAGCATGGGCATCGGTGCTTCTACATCATCCCTGACCAGTGTTTTTCCAGCCTCTACATGAATGCCTCTGATGATGGAGATTCCACAATATTGCTAGGCAGCCTGTTCTACTGCCTCACTGTTATAGCAGTGAAAGCTTTTTCTGATATCAAGTCTCAACCTTTCCAATCTAAATTCATACCTTTTTACCCTCTCCTAGTTGTCAATTAACCCAGCCCTGGGGTTATGCTATTTCGGTAAGACTGCATAGTCCGCCGAGATAGTAAGTGATAAGGAGTTCTGTATCCAGTTGCGGTTGCAGGCCAAACTATCCAAATAGGCCAAGGCATAAGGCTTTTTTTTTTCAAAACAAAGTGCCCTGGATTACTAAATTATGAGGAATCAAGAGATGGATATTATGTCTCATCCAAAATGTGGCCACTCTATGACACCGAGTGCTCTCCCTCATTCTGCTGGTTCGATTTAAATTCAGAGATTGATACTCTGTACTTCATTTTGGAGACTTTAGGACCTGTCCAAGGGTAGGCTATAGTGCTATAGGTCATATTTATGTCCTCCCAATTCAGCAATGCCCCAGTATCTCCTGGGGTGCCTGTTTAAGTCATAACACTGGCTTCAGCTGCTTGGGAGCCACATGCTGCCTGGAATCATGTAGCTTCATTCCCAGACTGCCCTGTATATCAGGGTTTATGAATTATTTCATGAAGGCTGTATTCCTGTGATGAGGAAATTCTCCTTAAGTCAGAAACAGGGCTCTAATATTTCTCTGATCCCTTACTTTGATGTAACCAGGGTCAGAAGAGAAATATCTCTCTCATGTAGGGAGAAGAATGCCATTTAATGCCAACATCTTTTTTTTTCTTCCAGTTCATTTTGCCTCTTACTTTAAGATAGGCAGGACCGTGCCTGTTTTGAGAGAGAAAAAGAGCCTCACAGTGGATGTAACTACATGAGATGTTTACTGTGCAGTTGACTAATTAGCTGTGCAGTAAATGTCTTGGTGTCCACAGATGAACCCCTATTAGGCTGGAGTAAACTAATTTACTCCACATCAGGAAAGTACTTGTAAATACAAGTACTATCCTGCTGCAGAATAAAAAACTCCACACCAGCACATGTGTAGATGCTACCCCAGCTGGCTGGGGCATGAGAGTGCTTCATTGCAGGGGCTGCCTGCCTGCTAGCCCCACACTGAAGCTGCTTTGTGCCCCAGCCAGCTTCTCTGCAGCACATTGAGCGAGGGGAGCAACTCTGGCCTGGCAAGCTGACCCCCTGGACCTCCTGCCAGCTGGGTCTGCTCTGCCCAGGTTCCATGTACTGAGCCTGAATAAACTGGGGAACTTATTATTCCAGACTTTATTGCTCCCAGGTGCATGTTCAAATGGCATGCCTGGGAGCAATTAACTGTGGAGCATTAAGCTCCACAGTTTATTCAGGCACTGGAATTGCACATGTAGACGAGCCCAGTACCCCAAACTAGTGTGCTTACCAATCAAATAATTGGGAGAAAAATGTGGAAAGCCCTCTAAACTGCAAATAGAAAGTTTTATATTAAACCCCACCTTTAAAATCCATAACAGTTGAGTCTTCAACCACCTCAGCCAACTTATTGTATCATTTCACAGAGCAGAAACTATCCATTATATTTTATTTTGTATCTGTGCCCCTTTGGCTCCTTGTTTCCTAAAGAATTATGATCTTTATTTGATATTATTTGATGAAATTTGGATTTGATGTTGTATTATAGCAGGAGAAAAAACAGAAACAGTCCATGCCTGAAACACCTAGCTTGGATAAAGAGCCAAAATATGTCGAGAAAGAGCCCAACTTCTCCATTAAAAGGACTGCATTTGCCGTATGCACACTAATTTTTTTTCGAATTATGTTTTCATTAGATATTTTGTTAAGGCAAGCAGAGGGATTCAAGTCTAAGCACACACTATATATCAAGCATCAATTATTTCAAAGACAGTCTAAATTCTTCACTCTACAATGGTGACTTCAGGACTTGGGTGTGGAGCAGTTCATGAATATTTTACTGCTTCATTCTCAAAAGAATTTGAATAAGAACGCTGGAGCATAACCATCTGGCAGCACCTGTTGTTAAATACTAACTTTTCTTTTAAAAAATGTTGGTAAATGTTGTATGGCTAACTATAGCAAAATAACTGAAAAGGCTACATGGGGGTGTTTACAGAACAAAGAGAAAGAAATATTCATTATTAATTTTTTTACTTTGCTTAATAGTGATGATAAAGGTTTGGAGTCAGCTGTTGTCAAAGTCATCAGTCCAGATGAGCAATGTGATGGCAGCCTGGAGTTACAAGAGTCTTCTTCCTCACTAGTAGTAAAAGAGATTCTTCAAGAGGCACCAGAGTTAATCACTCAGCAACTGGCTCATCTCCTCAGAGGTGAGAGATTACTCTTTATTTTAAATACTGAAAGGTTTAATGGAGTGTTTCTGAATCTGCTCATGCAGAAAGAGTGTGATCCATTCTTTGGTTAACAATCCCTTTAAAGACCACAGGAAGCTTCATAAAAGAAGCAGGGAGTAAAGAGTTTGTTAAAGAGTAACATTATATTGAATATTAAAAATGTGCATTTAAAAATAGGCATGAGGGGTCCTTGTTGTATCACTAGAGAGGAATATTAAATGGAGCTGTCTACACATCAGCTGGGTAGCTGGAATAGCTCTTGGAGTTCGAACTTTGCTTCCGGGGACTCTGAGTTATTGGTACTAAAGATACTCCTGCCCTATAGTGGACAATGAATATGGAACAGGGTTTCATGCTTGCATGTTAACACTTCTCCCGATCAAAACTATGTTTATATAATCCTGCTTTTATGATATAATGTGTAACTTTCATTATCTAAGAATGCTGTAATCAAATCTCCATTACCCTTTCCTCTCAGTTTGCCTCATCTGCCCACCACAGTATTAAGCAGTGGGGCTTCAATACAGTCACAAATGCCTCTCAGTTCTTTTCTTCGTAGTTTATTACATTTATCAGTGTCTTCCGACTCCTCAGTGTGACAGAACTATTTGTTAGATGTAAAGCTAAGATTATAAAAGAACTGGATATTGCCCGAAACTTAATTACTTATTTCTGTTGTTCCCGTTCTGGAATGTATTTTCAAGACCAATATGCTAAAATGATAAACAGTTATGATTATTATATTTTCTCTGATGACATTAACTTTGGCAAATTTAACAACTAGGATTCTGAACCTTTGCGTACTCTCTAGGTTTTGTGTACTCTCTAGGAAATGATAGGAGCTTATTCTCTCCTTTTCTGTTCTTTTGATTTTTATAAGATGCCCATCACCATAGCTAATGAATTTACCTTAAGAAATAATACAGGTTATTATTTTTAAAAAGGCCTTTCATCAGTATATGAGGAAGGATGTTAACAGTACAGAATGTAGCCAAATCTCTTTAAAATGTTTCATAACTAATGGACCCCAGTAAACCTGCCATTAAATATTTTGCAGTCTGCAGATCTCTGTAGAATAGCTCTATGGGAAACTATGCCCTCAACTAACCAAGTAAGCATAATCATCTATCTTTGTGACAGAATGAAAGAAGGCATTTGGGGTTTATGTCAAGAGGCCTCTTTGTTGATACAAATGTATGACATTATAGATAACACAATCTTTATACCGTACACTGTTCAAAGATAGTATTCCGGTTTAATATGCAAATACAATAAATGTATTTGCTATAAAAGCTAAAACAATAGACAGTATTTTTTCTTTGATGCAAATGTGAAGGCCAGTCATTCAGACACCTATTATAATGTTTAGTGTTTATTGCCATTCATAGTTCTGTTGAAGTCAACGTGACTGTTTACGGTAGCAAGTGCTTAATTTTGCAGCAAGTGCTTGTGGAATTAGACTCACACCTAATGAAATTACAGTTATCTGTTTTCTTTTTCTTCTTCTGCATGCCATGAGAGATAATCAGTAACATTTGAATAACTAAAGCCAGAGAAGTGAGTCAGCGGATAAAGATCTTCCCAGAGCAGGTGTTCAGAGCTGGGGTGCCACAATGCAAGCACTGCCACCATGGTGGCAGCCAGGTAAAACTGCCCTAAACACTCTTCCTGCAGTAGGTCTCTGATCACACTAAAGCAGGCAGGATCTGGTTGGTACGATGTACCTTTCCCAGTCTTCCCCCCCACACCCCTTCTGGAATCAGAATAATGGAGAACAAAAGGGGTACATAGCCCAAAGTAGCTCCTGTCTGCTTTAGGCTGCTCAGAACATGCGCACACATTATTGTTCTTCCCCAGGATGGCTGTGCGGCAGCAGTTTTGCTGGAGGTAGCAGAACCTGGTTGAGAAGCACTGTGCTAAACTGAGACAGCACCAACAGTGGTTCTCAATCAGGGATGCTGCCACCCTCAAAGAAGTGGTGGAGGGGTGCCCTGTCCCTGAAAAGGCTGAGAACCAGTGATCTCGAGTATTATGCATTTTCAGCAACTAGGGTATGCAGTCTTTTTTTGCTAGTGAAAGATACAGAAACAGTAAAAGTACTAAATTCAGTAGTATAGTGAGCTTGGGTGTTTAAAAAAAAAGCCTTTTGTAAGTAGGAAATGAGTGTCAGAAAGTCACAGAATGCTAATATTACTTTTAATTTTTATTATATTGTCCAAATTGTTAAGACTATACATATTTATAAACACAGATCCAATTCTGTCCTTACCATCTACCCATATCCTGCTCAGATCACTCTACTGTTACGATTCATGCCTCTTGCCAAGGTGCATATGCTGGCATAATATGGGATCCCAAATCTCGCTCGGCAGTAATCAAGGAGAAGAAAGGAAAAATGATGGGACTATAAATGTACAGGTAGTAGAATTCCTGCTGATATACAGATACTGTCAACTATTTGCTTTCCCTTTATTGTTCTGATGTTGTGGTTAGCTACCAACAAAGTACCTTTTTGGGAGGATGAGTAGCTGCTTCCTGCTGCATCATCGGTGGGTGTGTGCCAGAAGGCTGACGTATCTCATTCTAAGAGGATATCTGGGATGCAAGAGCATAAGGAGTACCTATGTACAGCTGCCACATCTCCATTCCTTCAATGTACAAAAATTGGTTTATATATAGCCATTTTTGGGGTAGTTTATAGGTAGAGAGCTAAACTGAAATGCAAGTGCTATGAATTTGGAATTCATTTTCATAAAACAGCTGAACAGAGACACTTAGCCCCTGATCTTGCATCAGTGAACTCAACTGGAGCTTTGTCTTTTACTGTAGTGGGCACCAGATTGGGCCCAAAGGGGCATATTGTCTGAGAAGGGCAGTAAGATGATTGAATACCCTCTTTTCAAAATATTTATGCAGTTGCCCTGTATCAGATGTGACAGTTTCATTAGCTGCCATCTCCACAGGTTTCTATGTCCTAGCCTGCTCACACTATATACCAGTTTTAATAATAGGCAGAGGTATTTACAACTGCACTGACATGCACTGTTCTAACTTTGAACAAATTAGATGTGCTTTTGAATTGGAAAAACAAGTCAGAAGGGGGGATGGGGGTAAATGTATCCATGCAGAACTGAACATTATTGACTCAGGCAGTTTTAATATTTAAGGTCTTTTTCAGCTGCATGAGTTCCTGATATCTTTGTCTCCTCTTCAAATATGCTGTAAGCTAATTCTACCCTTGGGTCCTGAATAGATCCTGCTCCAGGACTCAAAGTATTGTACAATCATTTTTGCCTTAAGTCAGAGCTTGTTCTAACTCTGGGTGTGTGCCAGAAGCAAACAATTATAAAACCTGCCAGAGTCTTGGGCCTGTATTATTTCATTTCCCCAGAGATGTTTACTAGGGGACTATTGCCAAACTCAAGATCCATTAAATTGCTGAATCATTACATTTTTTGTTTGAGCCAGCTGGCAAGGATGTGATTCAAAACACTGCCTGTCAGGTACCTTGGGTGAGTGGGCTCTCAAAAATGCCTCCTTATGTTTATTTGTATAAGGCCTTGAAGGATGCCACAAGGTGCAGATTGCAACATGTAAATACAGGCAAATTTAATAGCAGCAGCAACAGCAGCAGCATTTATGGCAAAACCTACTGCATTAGATATTTCTGTGCATGAGCATATGAATATGTTTCAGTTCAGTGCTGATGCAGTTTGGCTTCCAGTAAAGAAGATTAGTTTGTTATTTTAACTCACAGTAATGCTCCAAAAATCCTTTTAAGGAGTTCAGAGAAGGCACTGGTATTTTTGGTCTTACTTGGCAGATGAATGGTTCACACATTTCTTAAATGGCCATGGAGTCTGAAAGAATTATGTTGCAAATATGAGAGACAAGGGAACATTTCCAGTTCCACCAAACAAAATATTTTTGGACTGCAAAGATATTTTCCCATTGTGCAGAAAAATAAATTATTTTCTGGAAGGCAACTATCTTTGCCTGGGACACTGCAAAAATTTGAGCTACAAATATGTGCTTTTAACTACTGGTGATGAGTGAGGTCTGCTTGTTGTTGTATTTACAGTGTTCATGAAAGGCTGCTGATTCACCCCTCCCCAAAAGATTTCCCTTTTCAGCTGAAAGATGAGAATGGAGGTGAAAAGCTTGTGTATTTCACTGCACTTTTCTTTTCAGGCACAAAGTTATCATTCAGGAGATGCCTGTGCTGTTCTTAATGTTTTCCCAAAACGACTTCTGCCTTCATTAGATTGTGTTTAATATTAATGCATAGCAATTGCTTTTGGCAAAAGTGGTGCTTCACTTCTGAATTGCTTTGCAAAAAGAATAAAATGTCCATTATTTTTTTTAAAGAGGCATACCGTATTATCCAATATTCCTTCCCCTAAAACCCAGGTAATGCAGTGTGAACTGCACAATAGTTATTGAACCTTAGATTACATATTGCATTTTCTTTCATTTCTGCATGTCAGTGGACAGAAAAGCTTCCGCAGTGCTTTCAGGAATCCAGTGGGAATTGCACCAGTTCTCAGTAAAAACAAGTGGTCTGCCAGAGGTGTTCTAGGTTGATAGATCTTCTATATAGCAGATACTTAAAAGAGTACAGGACAAGATGGACTTGAATCAATCTGGAAAAGCGGTAATGAAAGCATCCCTAGGCTGGGGAGAAATCAAGTGATGTATTGTTACTGAGCCAAGGCCAATTCCAAGAGCATTGCCTCTCTCAGCTATCTGGGATCTGACGTCCCAGAGGGAAACCGAGGAGTCCAGTGTACCATGGATATGCAGGGGATTGTGTGCACCTCCCATTAATGCTGACAAATACATTACTGTGACTGAAGGAAGGAGATGCCCCAGGGCTAACTTTGGGAATTGCTGATACTCTGTTAATATGAGAAGGCTCCTTGTCACTTCCTTTCACCTTAGTAGAAAAGTTAAACAATCACACTGCATGACTGCAG